TTGAAATTTGGTAAGTGAAAAAAAAAACCAAAAAAAAACCAAACAACAAGCTAGAGGGAAATCCAGGAAAGCTGTGCTCAAAGCAAGTCAGTTTTTCTGCCCCCTGCCACATACAACCATGTTTTATGAAGTCTAGTCACATGAATGGGAATTTTAAAGTTACCAACTTTTAAAAATATAATACAGATGCAAAAGTAGTCATTAGTATTTATTTTAAGCAGCTTCAGATTGTTTTACAAACATTAAAATCTCAAAATGTTAGCCACAGGATACCGGCAAGCTTTGTTTAAATACATTACACATACTTTCCAGTTACGTTCTCCCCACTCTCCTTCAGCGAGCCCTGCCACACGTGATGAGCCACACTTACTCAAGCAACTTCTCCAGCTTTATTCTTATTAATAGAAGGAGAGCAGGACGGGTGTTTTCTTTGATGCCCCCAACCCAGTAAACACTGAAGCAGAGGTTTAATAAAAGAAAACATAAAAGCACAAATGTTAAGTACTTTACAGATTTCTGATTTGTTTATATTGGACTGTTCACATATTTGAAGTACACATTTGAAGCGTAAAAAGCATCAGGGGCCCAATTCACTTTTTTTTTGTTATTGTAACGAAAAATATATTAAAAATGCAAAACACCTCTACAAATGCAAATATTTCTAAAAAGATTTTGTCATACAAATGTTGAAACAAGCTTCAAGCTTATTTTTAGAGCTGTTAGCACCTCCCCATAATGCTTACCCACCCTTTGCAAAAGAGTGGACATAGTGAGTTAAGCAACGTTTCTCTTTTTAAACCGATTTGAATTTGTACGTGCTGAATTTTCTACTTTGCTTCCTGAGTGTCGAGTGAAGCTTCATCCCTGATGGAAGCAGTTACTGTATTATCAGCATGAAAAAACGCAGCACTTGGGCTTGTAAGGCAGGAGGTCCTCAAGAAAGAAAATGGCTGCAAAATCTGAGAAACCAGAGAAATATTAAAGTCCCAAACCCTTAGAGCTAATTATAACAGGACTGCTATCATACTGCAGAAAGTAGGGCATCCGCACTTTGCAAAAGGAAGTAACATAAAAGCAGGTCGTCAGGTAGCTCATGTGCTGTCACTAGCCCCTCTTGCTAGCAGTGCTTTTGGAAATAGCAGAGCCTTTATAAAATCAAGTGCTGCCTTCCTCCACCTGAATCAATGGAGTAAAAAATTTCAAAAGGGGTGGTTTTTTTTGCCACCTAATGCTTCCCACTCCAAAACTACGACCAACACTTTGTGAAGAAAAATGAGCTATTTTTTCCTTACAGCAATACTCTGGAAAAAAATATCTGTCCCCTAGAAACAGATACAGCAGCATGCAGAATGGGAACTGGCAGCATCCAACCCTTTTACAGGAGCACTATGCTTTTTGTCCATTTGAAAAGAAAATTTCCTCCTGGACCTACTTGCTAAATCAAGACATGAAGTCAATATATTTTTGCTATAAACATGGAATAGTAAAAAAAAAAAAACCAAAACCCCAACTCCAACCAACCCATAAACATAGACTGTAACTCACTATGTCCACCTCTTTAAGAAAAGGCAAGTACACTTGCTGTTTCAAAGCAGGCCACGTTAAATTTTAAATACAAGGGTGGTATTAGATTTGCTGGTATTCCATTATGGTTGGGGTGGCAAAAGAATAACCACCACTACCCTCAATAAACAAAGATCATAACTTACTTTTACTTGACAAATGAGAGGCAATTAAATGTTGCTAAAACCCATCTTAATCTGATCATAATGTTCTACATTTGACAGTGATAGGCAATTCTTCTTAGCCAGCTTAGTTTTGCTTTTATTTAAACATGAAATTATCTGGAGCTAAATACTAAAAGCAAACAAAACCAAAAAGTTTCAACTGAAAAAAAAATAGAGAAAATAGCCCTCCAACATATAAAGTAATAAAAATAACTGCCTCCAAAGTTCTGCTGCAATTTAAGCTGATTTTATATTTTACGTCTGAAACACTAAAAACACAGTGGAAATATAAAAAACACGGTGGAAATTTAACTTAACAAAACATTCTCACACACCCACACACACTCTAAACCCAAGCAAATTCCAGTCATTCCTAATGCTCAAAGATTACAGCCAGCTTCTCAATGGAGACACAACTTCAGGGAAGCTGGAACCAAGAGTTCAAGTTAGAATTTCACAGAATAATTACTATTACAATCCTGAACAAGATCTTTCAGAAATGGGTACCTGAAGATAAAAAGGAACTTAAGAACAAAGCATATGGAAACCATCTGGTTCTTCAAGTTTCAAGCATCAATACTCACCAATTATTTTACTGGCAGTTGCTTAGCACACAGAACTTCACAAGATGCTTTAAATGCAGACTCAAAACCATAACTTGAGATGCTCCCTGCCCTTACCAGTATTTTTAATAATGTCTTGGCCCTGTCTCTCCACTATACCTGAATCGTGGAAGAACAGATGTCCAGAACCATGTCCATTCCACAGGGTCCCTCAACAAAAGTGAAGTACTCCATACTACACACAACATGCCCACAAAAGCCTACTCAATCACGATTAGCTTTTGCTATTCCATAAACTTACTGAGAAATGAGCTGGTGACAAAAATAAAAATAATAAAAAAAAACATTAAAACCCCTCCTTGTTTTTCTTCTTGTGCCCCAATATTCCATGAGCTGTGTTCATGAGAACCTCTTTACTTGCACACAGTCAGCACCTACAGTCAGTTTCTCTCTGCACCTGTGCAGGGTCACGTACATGCAAGTCTCACAGTGAAACTGAGGTAAGCCACAAGGGCTTTAGGCTATTAAGAAAGTAAATTCAATTTCTAATGCAGTAAACTGAATTTTTATTTTAAAATTCTTCAATTTAAACACAAGCTTGTCTGCATCAGAAGGCTGAATATCAATATTTGGTCCAGTCACTACTGGTGTAAGGAACTTATCACTACAGCTATGGTGGCATACGTTCTCTCTTTCTATTATAACATATGGAAAGAAAATATCAATAAAACATTTCTAATTAAAAATTATTAAAAAAAAAATCTGCCAACTTGCCATATAGGTCCAAATCCTCACATCTTAACCCAGAACGTAATTGCTAGAAAAATATCAAATACAAGCATGAGGAGTTTTACATGTTTAACTTCTATCAATTATTTCAAATCTAGTTTAGGCAAGTAGATGTTGTTTTTAACATAAGAAATTTAGGGTGATTTTGGTCCCTTTGTAAGTGCATTCTTTTGAACTCCCTGAGTACTGTACATTCCATTTCTACAGTGATTTCTGACTGGAAGATGCTGAATAAAGTGGTTTTGCGTTGCTGCATATGAAGTAAAGTCTATTGCTTAAAGTGAAACACAGCAGCATAAGATTTTACAAAATATGCAGGTGCATGTTTCAGCATTTTGCCCCTACACATCTGCACTAAGTGCGAGCCATCAACTTCTCCAAATCTCTCCTTTGGATTTCATAAGTGGCTAATTTCACATCATTAACGATAACTAGAATGTAATTGTTGTTACTATTTATGTCTTGGCAGAAAATTCCTACCAACCTACTGTCAGTAATACCTGTGAGTTAACACGGAGTTATTCAAAGCCCTGTTGGACCACACAGCTCAACTGCTGGCCGCTCCGAGGGCAGCAGCTATAGTTGTGTAGGTCTTTTTGTGAAAGAAACATAAATGGTACTAACCATCCAAACACCTAACTCCACATTTTCAAAACACAGTAGTTCATAGCAGTTGATAAAATAATAACAATAATAAAAAGATTATACTACTTCAATAAGAGCACAAACTAAGAGCTCATACTGAAGCGTGAGTACAAACGAAGTACTGAGAATCAACTCCAGTATATCCAGTTCCAAAAATAACTGTGGGCCGAAGCAGCGCTAAGCATTTGCTTATTACCATTTTCATTAAAAAAGAAAACTAGGCAGCACATTCAAATGTAAAAGACACGCAGGTAAGATGTGTTTACTTTTTAAAAAATAATTTATAAGATAACAGATATCAACAGTTCATTATGTAACATCAATATAAAGAGTTTAAAGTTACTGACTCAATCAGTATATACCAAAGATACTTCGATACCAAACGAGGCTTCCAGTTACTTATGAACCTTGAATTATTTAGCTCATTAAAGGATATACCTTAAATTCAACAGATATGGCTGAATTTGTGCACTAGTTAAAATATTTTAACTGCACATAAAAAGATGTAAAGATGTATTTTATATAGTTTTGTACAGCGTATGCACGTGTGTATGTATTTTTTACTCACCTATGAACACAATGCAGACAACAGAAGGCAGCATAGCAAGAGTGTTTTGAATATAAAAATGTTTTGTTTTCAATTTAGTAGAAAAGGTGTATTTGTATTTTGGCAGACTTACTGGTACTACTATACGAAACCAGGAAAAAGGTCATGCAAAGGGGTAAAGATTATTCTTCAACATATCTAACATAAAACAAAAACACCTAGTAGATTTGAGAATACTTTGCAATTAATGGGAAAAGCATCCAAAAGACAACATAATGGTTTAGTTTGGTTATTTTATACCTGGTTGTACCCTAGTATAGATGTGGTTTATTTTAAAAATGAAAATAAAGTTGTTCTTCTCTTCCTTCCACAAATATTTTGTTCAACTCAACTGATGTCAGAAGCATAGTGATATAATGGCCATTAACAAAAAGAAAAAAGCATTATGGACATAAAATGTACCAAAAAATAAGCACACTCAAAAATATATTTTTCTTTCCCCTACTTACAATTACGTTTTTTAAAAAAACAAAGCTTTTACAATATCAGACCAACTATTGGCTTTTCTAATAAATTTGGTGAGTACCCTCCCTGTACATCCTGTTTCTCTTAAGCATTTAGCAGTTGACTTTATACACAAGGTAAGTCTCTAAAGGAATTAAATCAGTTTGTATTTTTTTGACGAATCAAGTATAGCTTTTTGCATGTCATCGCCATGTTCATTCTGTTTTAGCTGCAACGTCTAACATGCTCCAAAACATACTCGGGGAAGTGCAAGCTGCAGACTTGTAAGCCATCCAGCTTGCACGGCATCCTCGGATACTCATCTTCTTTCCATTTGTTCTCCTCTGGATCAAAGGTGAGAATCGAATCACTGTAATGCCCATTGTAACAAAGGCCTCCAAGAACCATTATCTGCTTGTCCAGAACAGCCACACCGTGACCACTCCTACCGATTGGCATAGAAGCCAATATAGTCCACTGATCGGTATCGGGGTCATACACCTCTGTAGAAGGACACCCTTGGGATTCAAAGGAGGCCCTCAAGATCACACAGACGCCACCAAAGACATAAAGCTTACCATTGTAAGAAATCATTTTGTGAAAGCATCTTGCGTAATTCATTTTGCATTTGTTCTCCCAGCAGTTAGTGACCACTTGAGTTCTCCTTGTTCGCTGCTCTACTGTCCCTTCTTTACTGGGATCAAACACACACACTTGCTTAGAAGTTGACGATGATGTAATTCCACCAGTGATATACAACTTGTTACCAAGCACAGTCCCTTCATGGCCGTATTTATTGACTGGATAGGGATCCACAAATTCCCATTTATCTTCAGTGATATCGTACCGTTCGGTTGAGTAGAACGTTTCGTCCCTGGTTCTCCCAGCCACCGCATAAACATACCTCCCAATAACTCCAACAGCAAACTCAGACCGTGGAACAGACATGTCTGCCATTCGCAACCAAGTGTTCTGTCTTGGGTCGTATCTAAACACTTTGGACGAAGCATGAAACTCGCCATCTGGCCCCAGTTCTTCCCCACCTAACAGGAACACAAAGTTATTCACAATGGCAAGGCAGTCTGGTCGTAAAGGTACTTGAGGACCTTCTAGTTCCCACCAGACCCTTGGTTTGTGCAAAAGAAGAATTTTACTGTTTACCATACTGTGTCCTATCATTCCTCTAAATACTGCAGTCTGGGGTTTGGCAGAACGAATTTTGTTCGATTTCATTTCCATCAAAGGCTGCTGGTGAACGCTATGAAAGTAATTCATGGCTTGGTCAACCTCATGTCGCAGCTGCCGGGAGTATCGATAAAACTCTGATGTTTTTACCTATGAATACATTTAAAAGATATTAAAATTCCAACCAAGAGAAACAATCTAGAAAACCTAAAGAAATCCTAAATAACTATCTGTCATTAGAAGATTATTTTACTTGGTTTTATTCAGGCAATCTTGAGAACAATTGCATCTGTGCACAGTGGCTTATGCTAACGTATTATTATCCAAAATCCAGAAGGTAATTTAGTGATTAACAGCAGTGACTAACATTTTCAGCAGAATCCTTACATGCAGAATTTAAGCTGGAATTAGGCACAGCTGAAATCCCCAAGTCTATTAATTATTATTCCTTCTGCCCAGAAAAAAAACTCTGTTCATCTTCTGCTTAATCCATGAAGCCCCTGAATTAAAAATACACCATTTTCCTGGTTTGGAAAACATTCTACGCCACCATTCTGTATTTACTAAGGTCTACTAAGTCTAATTTCTGCTGAAATCTCACAATCAAGCCCAAGTAGGTATTCCCAAATGCTAGGCTCTGCTCACAGGGCTATTTAATTGGAGTGGGGTGGGAAGGTATTCAAATTCCTTCCTTCAGAACACGTAATTGCACAAACCACTCCTTCTGATGGTTACCTTATGGTTTCCCCTCTGTGAGTCTCCACATGTTAACACCCCCTTTAACACAAGAGGAAAACATCTCCACTTACAGTGCATTTATTTGGTAAATTGCAGAGGTAGGTTTGAACTTCCGCTTCCCAGCTGAGAGTTAGAACCTTTGAATTACTGCACAGTAGTGCTGCTCCTCAGTGCCATCTCAACTTGAAAAGAGCTATCCCTGTTTTACTGGAGTTGGTGGGGGAGACTGTAAGAATTTATCTTTCGAGGACCTCTCCTATTATCAAAGCCAATTTAAGTTCCTTGAGACTGGTTCTGAGACAATACAAAAACATACACCTGTCTTATAAATCTAACTCCACAGAGCCCTCAGGCTGCCTTGCGACTCTCTTCAAAGAGGCTTCCCTCTTCTTGTACAGTCTTGTCTAACACAGCATTCTGAATTACACCTCTAAAACAAATAAAAACCCTCTGGATATTGACAAATCCACAAATCCTCTATCAGATTTGATCCTAAGTACCAGTTTCTTTCACATAAAACCAGATGGCTTTCAAACACTCTGAATGCCTTTAGTATGTGCTAGCTCCAGAAGAGAAGGATTGCTCTGAAAAAATGTCAGACCACTGAAATTTCAAAACTACCACAAGATAACATCAGAAGCTACTCTTTTTCACTATCTGGTCCCCCTTGCTCCTATCCCCTGTCTCAAGGGAGAAAAAGGCTGTACCACCACTCACCTAAGGGGTAGTGGTGTGAGTTTTCATGTACGTGAACAGCAATTTGCAAACAAATGGTCTTTATACCTTGTGAATAAAGTAGTTGCTTGGTCTATAAACATGGAGTATTCAATTTCTGCTACATTTCTGTTAATCCTTTCTCTGCCTTGTATAGTAATTAAGGCATAGTGCTGTCAGGCATTTTTAAAAATCTTTTGAACTGTTGTTATTGGATGGTCACATGCAGCTTGGATACATTATTCTCAGGGCAATATACAACTTCATTCTACCTTTTTTACTAGGGGTAACAATGGAACAAAAAAGGTTTACTTAGGTATAGTGCTTATAAAACAACTACAGCAAGCCTAACTCTTCCAGGCAATAACAGATCTATTTTCTTACTGCAAATAAAGAATATATCACACAAACACAGGAGGCTCAGTCGATATGGCACTTGTAAGAATAAAACATATACCTTGCCTGACTGAAAAGACTGAACATAAATTCTAGAAAATACACTACGGTCAAGGTGGTGGGGTGAACAACAGCACATAAAAATGGTAAGACACAGAAAGTCTTAAAGGTTACAAAAAATTAAACAAAAGGCTAAAATAACAGAGCAACCTCGATGGGTTACTTTATCCTTAAGGGTAACTTTCAAATTCTAAACAACTGTTTAGTTAGTACAACTGTTTTATGCAACAATATCTCACATATTCCCAAACTGGAAATATCATTTTTGGAATTAAACAAAGGGATACATTATTTTTGTTCCACCTATATGCATTTCAAATTTTCTTGGATGACTATGGAAGACAACAGGATCAACATGCTCACAACGTGAAGCATGCCAGCAAAGCCTGGCACAGATGGAAAATGTTTTTTTTCCCCCCTCAACATTTACAATGCTTTCTTTAGATCTAGAAATTGAAATGCCAGCCAGAAATTGAAATTAAAATAAGCCTCATATATCCTCACCACTGTACTCCTTCACATAGCCTAAATCTCACCCCATGAGAGCACACAAAAGGAAACAAGGAATATCTCAGAATATCAAGACCAAGGAATCAATCTATTAGGAGCTTACTACTACTTACCTGGCAAAGGCACTAACACCAAAACAAAGCCTCAGTCTTTTACCTTAAACCAGAAAGACACCAAGAAGCAAATGCTACTGCCATTTATAAACTCCTTCAGGCTGAAGCTCGTGGGTAAGCTATTTACACTCACAAAGATTGTGAGTAGTACTCACAAGTACTAGTACTAGGAATTCTTACAGAAGTACTAGGAATTCTTACAATATCAGGAAGAAAAAAAAAATCGCAAAACAAAGTGACAGACTATCTAAATTCTGGTAAGAAAAGGTAGTTGGTGGCTTCCTAGACTTTGCTGTTGAAATAAAATATCAGCATTTCTAGCCTTCCACCTTTCACCAGGACAACCTCAACAATACAGCAGCAGTACCTCTCCTGATGCTCAAATGATGGTCTAATACAAATAATGGAATGTGCCTATAGGAGAACACAGACTGGTCATGCCTGCTTGATGCAAATGAAGACAAAGCAAACAGAGGGCAGTTTGTCCACTTCCACATACCTGTCTGTGTGAAATATTCCAGAATTATTTGAAAGTCTTTCTCAGCTCACAGTAAGGAAAACCCTCCAAACACCTACACTTCTCAGTAATTTTATAATAGTTTTAATTACTTGTGTGTATAATCAAGAAAGAGAAATATTAATCTGTATGTGTTTAGGTATTAAAACACAAGTATAAACTGTGCATATGCCTTAGTTTTAGTAGATTGAAGAATATGTCCCTCAGTGAGCCTTTTCTAGGAATTGCTGACATCCAAAACATGCTGAAGGAAATCCCTCAGCATCCAAAAGTAGTCTTTTGCCATTACCTCTAAGTAGCAACTAGTTAACCAACAAATATCCAGGCACTTACCAACAGACCAATTTTCCTGTTAAGTTCAAATGGAGAACCTCTAGAAGGAACAGGCACTTAATTACCAATATATTTATTAAAGACAATAATCACATGTTTCTGCAAAATGACACCAAGCTGTGTGGTGCAGCCGACATGCTGGAGGGAAGGGATGCCACCCAGAGGGACCTTGACAGGCTTCAGAGGTGGGCCCAGGCCAACCTCATGAAGTTCAGCCAGGCCAAGGGCAAGGCCCTGCACCTGGGTCGGGGCACTCTCAAGCACAAATACAGGCTGGGGGATGAGGAGATTGAGAGCAGCCCTGCAGAGGAGGACTTGGCAGTGTTGGTAGATGAAAACCTGGTCATGAGCCAGCAGATGTGCGCTCATGGCCCAGAAAGCCAACTGCATCCGGCTGCATCAAGAGGAGTGTGGCCACCGCTACTCTGCTCTCCTAAGAGCCCACCTGGAGTAATGCATCCACCTCCTGAGTGCTCAGTGTAAGAAAGGCATGGGCCTGCTCAAGCAGGTGCAGAGGGCCACAAAGATGATCATGAGGTTGGAGCAACTCCCCTGCAAGGACCAGATAGAGGTGGGGATGAGTTCAGAGTTGGGGTTGTTCCGTGTGGAGAAGAGAAGGTTCCGAGAAGACCTTATAGTGGCCTCTTAGTACTTAAAGGGGCCTATTGGAAAGAAGAGGAAGGACTCTTTGTCAGGGAGTAACTGTTTCAAACTGAAAGAAGGTAGATTTAGCTTACATGTAAGGAAGAAATTCTTTACTGTGAGGGTGGTGAGACAGTGGCACAGGTTGCCCAGAGAAGCCGTGGATGTGCCCTCCCTGGCAGTGTCCAAGGCCAGGCTGGATGGGGCTGTGAGAAGCCTGGTCCAGCAAGGTGTCTCTGCCCATGGCAGCGGGGTTGGGACTAGATGATATTTAAGGTCCCTTCCAACTCAAGACACTCTGTGATTCTATGAAAAAATGCAAACCAGATGGAAATGTACACTAACTGTGATGAACCTTGCAGTAAAACAAATGTGCATTCTTAAGAGCACATCAACTCTGAATTGATTTTAAAAAAAAGGCTTTACAGCATCTTGCTGAAGTGTCTCAAAGAAAGTCTGTTAGACTTCCTTACCTATGCCAGTCTTACTGGTAGAAAAAAACCCTAGAAATTTAATCCAAGCGATGAAGTTATGTTCATGTGATTTTTTCATCTTCTTTTAATACTGCTCTTCAGTTTTCTGGACAAAATCTTCTTACAGAGGGTCTGCTGGGACATAGTTCTAATGTAAGAACTATCTCATGAGAACCATGTCATTGCTCCATCTATGAGTTACAGTTGTTCATAATCCAGACTTTTATCTACACTGACAGGGAGCAGCAGAAACCAAATCAAATGTGTCATTCCATTAAAAAAAAAAAAATTAAAAAAAAAAATAATTAAAACCATCCACCTCTCTACTCACCCTCTCCATGGTCAATACCACAAACATCAAGCCTTCAAAATCACCACCATCCCTTCTGCCACAGCACACTGGAGCTTGAATGCATTTTCTCTTTTTCATTTTGAATCAGTGAAACAGTAAAAATTGCAGGCTTTCCAAATTAATGCAGCTATTAATCACTGCCCATTTTTCTGCTCTTCTGCAATACATGCTTTTCTAGCTGCAGCCGCTATGCAAGTTTCAGAATTTTCCATCTATATTCTATGAAAAAGTAAAGCCAAAGATGTAAGGCATTGGTTTCTGATTTTGAAAGTGATCCCCAAAAAGACGAGCTGTATCCCATGTTATGCTCATCATGTTCCACCTCACCCTTAAAACAATTAAGCAAATTAATAAGATACAGGAAGAGCAATAAAATCCAAGGTACATGTTCTGTAACACAAGTTTGGCTTCAGTATACAGCTGCCTTGTTTGGGTTTTATTACAAAAACTTACAGTTATTGCTCTATTTGTATTTTTGTTACTTGAGCTTTTAGGAAAAAGCTTTCAAAACAATTAAGAAAGGCTACTTCTGAAGTATACAATTTTTACAAATTTGAGGTCTAGTATTTTACACGTAGTAACTAAATCTTAACATGTTATTATATGCTGTAGGTATTAGTTTTGTTCCTTCTGTAGAACTGTTAAAAAAAAAGCCACAGAAAAATCTAGATGGCTCATAATAGGACTGCCTCATCTCTAGTCACATAAGCAGAGAACTATTTCAAAGGTTATAAAATTGTGCTTACTTAAGTATTCTAAAGCTGCCAATCCTGAATGTGTAAGTGATGCAAGTCAAACTCAACTACTAGGAGTACAGAAGCTATGCTACACCTTTTCCATTAATAATGATGGCATCTGTATGATACTTTTAGAGAGCAAATTCTTCCTTTTACTTGTAAATAAATTGGTATTTTACTTGAGATTAAGCTGAATCAAAATTAAAGATCCATCAATTCTATCAACTAATATCCTTATTATTTTCAGATCTCCTTATCTTTGGCCATATTCTAAACACAACTGTAACCCTGTAAACAAACATTATCAAAATGTAAGCACTGTTATTCCAAATCAAAATTCAGTCAAATAGAAAAAGTCACATGTATGTCTCTAAAACAGTAGCAATCAAAATTACTTCGCAATCAAACATCACTATACACAGCATTGGACAACTTGCTGTACTTAACTTTCCCTTTTTCTAGTATGTCTCATTGCTTAGTTACACCCCGTGGCCAGTATGAAAACTGGTCACTACCAGTACAGGGAGCCGAAAGGCCATTCTTCAAGTGCTAGAAATCACTCACAGTTTTTCAGCTTAAACATAGAAACACATGATGATATAGGCTCTGTGAAGCAGAGTGAAGAGTGCCCTCAAACTGAGTATTTTGCTGTTCCTTTTTAGAAAGTGGCAAGAGGAATTGCCACAACCAAGCCAGTATCTAGCTCAGATCTAATCTCTCAAATCAGAGTGGGGCCAACAATCTACATGCCAGAACTGAGATGGTCAGCACATAATACACACTGCTGGCAAATCTATCCAAGTCAGCAATAACCTGTAGACATAAAGATATCAACTGCAGCACCTATTTAAGATAAGAGGGGCCTACTAACCTCATCCACTAGGCAATTCTTATTCTAAACTTCAGCATACAAAACTGCAGGAGATACATATGAATATAAGATGTGGAAATGCAGAGAAAAAAAAAGAAGATAAATTCAATCCATATATCAAAGGTAAACTTACAACAGCAACTTCTCAAAGTTACACGCTTAAAGATAGAGTGCTATTCATCTTACCTTTAACACAGAAGTTGATTCACCTAGTGAATAGTAAGTTTATGATTTAAACTGGGAATTTATAAATCAGCCTGGGCTAGTATAACTCTACACAATGGACATCTTTCAATCTTAAAGATAGAGATTTTGAAACAACATTTCAACCTCAGTAGTACATAGAAACTAAATGGAGCTTAAATAGTATATAAAGGGAAATCATGACATGGTTGCCTCCAATAACACAGAGATGAACTCAGCTCTCTAGGAGAAATGCCCTCTGACTTATCTCCAACTTTCCTAAAGGCCTACAGAGCCATGGATATGTTTCAAATAAAGGAAAGCATAACAAGGATAGCGCAACTTGTGCTTCTCCCTGTATACTTTGCCTTTATTTTTTAACTAATGCCCAAATCCCTTATTTATTTTTCCATTTCCCACATACATCTACAGGTATTTTTAAGGGGTGGGGAACAAAAGGAGTATCTATTCCTACTTCAGAAGCAGTTTTCCCAGGACAGTTTAGAGTAAGCAAACAGGCTGCAATTTCACTTGTGCACTCCAACTGCACATCATGTGTAAGTCAAGTCACTCATTTAATCCTTAAAAGGACAAGCCATCCCACTCAGATTGTAAATTTCTTCCCAAAAAATGACGTAAGAAATAGAGCAGCTGAGGAGACCAAAAGTATCCTTACTGTGACTTGCAAAATGAAGTTATATAAGTACTTTATATACTACGATGCCAAGCATCTTAGAAATGCGTATTAGAAGGATTATGTAAGAGTACGTATGACAAGCCAGCCAGCATATAGCCAATACAGAGCTTGCTGAACTGGAAGAGTCAACCTAAGATTGTATTTTGTGCATTCATGCAGGCATTTACTATGTGCTGGCTTCAGGAAAAAGGCGAATGTTTTTTGTGTATCTCCAAAAACAACAACAAAACGCTGTTTTACCAATGTTTACCCCTTCTACACACAGAAGAGAGTTCTCCTCTCCAGAACAGGTAACAGACATGCTCTATATTTAAAAGAAAAATAATAATAATAAAAAAAAATAAGTGTGGTCTATATTTTGATGTTAGCTCCAACTGCAGTTGTCCTGTGTCACTTGCCACAGTGGATTACTCAATGCTCTCTAGCCAGAGCAAAACACAAATTCCTAGCTGTAGCAAAGGATGACATAGTTAGTGGCGCATCCCCCTGCGGAGCTGTCCCTCCAGAATCTGCACTGGCTTCTCTGTGTTCCCACTTACCATTAGTGGAAAGGGTATTCAGGAATAAAGCTTTTACATGTGGGTTTAAAAACAGGGATGCTAAAAATGAGTTATCTCCTACAGTTGTACCTATCTGGTCATTTGGGAGCTCTTAAGACAAAACCTGAGAAGTGGTATATACAGGATTTATACCACTGATGTCAAAAACAGCTCCAGAAGTTATACCTAACTATAATGCCGAATACCAACACATACTTTTCACTTTTGCTTACAGAAATTTACCTGAAGACAGCTTGATGCCTGAGCTTGTATCCCAAAAACTCGAAGAGCTGAACCAGATACTTTCAGATGAGCCTCCCCCATCAGATTTACATTAGTAACGCTCTGTGAATCTGTTAATCACATTAATTTTCCTACTGAAGACTTTAGATAATGTAAGAATAAGGTAAAAGTGTTACTAAACCCAAGAGACTACACAGTATCTTGCAGGGTTCAGCACATAGTAGTAGTTGGAAATATTTTAACCCATTATAAACATGACTTTACTGCTCTAAAACATGTTTAGGTATTTATTTTGTTTATGTCTATAGGCTAAAATAAGACCATAAACACACATTCTGTATGATTACTTCCTCTACTCAATTCCCACACACACAAAAAATCCAAAACACACACCCACTAGTCTCTGAAGTAATTAATAGCTTTTATAAGTTTTCCATACAAGTAAGTGTAAGCAATACTTCCTTAAATGATCCAGTAGCTCTTAAAACCACTCAGAACAATATAACCTTATCTGCATATTCACTAGATACCAAAGTAAAAATATATGGGAAACTAATTTGTAAGAAGCCCAACAAAACCACAGGCTCTTAAATCCTATTAATTCACTGAGAAGTGAAAAATACACAAGTTAAAGTTGTATCTTATCACACAAGGTTAACATTGTTAAAACAAAAAAGCACAGTTCAAGTAACTTCTAATCTGAATACCCTTACTGTTACTAGCCCACAAGAGCCGCTTACAAAGTTTTGTAATTCTCTACCGTTGGCAAATACTCAGAGATTCTCAGGAACTAGAAAAAAAAAAATTTGTCGATTCTTCAACAAAACAGCAGAAAAATCAAGTTCTCTTTTAACCTCTTAATACATAAAATGATCAGGTGAATTTTAGATCACCTGTTACAAAGACTCTTCTGTTAACCATTACAATTCACACTGTCAATTTTTGATTGTATTATATGCCTTGTGCAAAACCAAATACATGTGTAACTTTGCAGAATGAGGGCTTGCTTCCACCTTCTGTGTAACAGCACAAGCACTGAAGATACAATGACAACAAAAACACCCCGCAGAGTTAATAGCAGATGCTAGTTTTCATTTGTAAATAATAAAAAACCAAAACTGTACTTAAAACATGTAAAATCTACAGTCACCATGTTTTGGTTATATTGATAACAATTAGCATTACATATGCCCTACGTACTGTATGTAGCTCCAAAATCTCTGGAAAACAACAAGAAACTTGTGGAAAAAGCAAGAATGATTGAAATAAAGCTTGATACTAGTGACCTTATTTAAAAGTGTCCTTTCCACATGGAGTCACTTTAAAACATGTACTGTAAACCTACCTGTTCTCCAGCCACTGCACATACTACTGTCTAATAATTAGATGACAATACTCTTAGATGTTTGTCTTCTGCTGGTTTACTAGAAAAATAAACGCTATCCTTCTGTTCCTCCTAACAGGTTTGGGAATCTTACCTATTTAATGGCATGCTGCCCTAGCTAAATGATGAATCCTGTCTACTGCTTTTCAAATGCACCAACCTTCTCAAAAACACTGGATGGTGTCATCAAACAAAACCTGATGTTCTGAATGATGGTGTCCGTATGCCTCCAGCGTCTTCTATCATGTCGCAGCCAGGCCTGAACAGCTTCATACAGCTCTATCTCTGGAAACCTGCTCAGATGATCATTGTCCAAGTAAGACATGAGCTTCTCAAAGCTCAGGTATGAAAGGAAGTCAGGTCTGGACATGAGTGGCACAAAATTCTCTAGCAGAAAGGAGTCCAATTTTTCCCTGACTCCTTCGATGTTTACACCGAAATCATCCAGAAGTCTCATAATTTCTGCACAGTTTTCTAAGCAGATTTTAGCTAAGAGAAAAGAGCAGCAAAACTTTACCACCTCTATAAGCTGGACATACATGGCAGCCTGAAGGATTTCATGAACAGTGTTCATACTCAGTTCAATAGTTCCATAGTACATGAATTGGAGGACATGACTGAAGCCTGTAGCTGTCAGACCTTTCAAATGGATTTTGTCCTGATCTCGTTCTCGCATATCAGCTGTAAACATAATCCTGAAGTAATCGCTCTGGGTGGCAAGCAGGGCTTTATGAGCCTGAAATTGGTGGTCTTCAATGACAAGTGTGACATCAAGAAGCAATCCCTCCTCATACAGTGCTCTGAATCCAGCAGAGACACTGGTGTCGTGGATGGAGGAGCTAAACCCTTCCACGTCCCCTGCCATGAATCACCTAGGGGGAAGAAAAAATAAATAAATAAAAATAAAAATAACTTTTTTATTTCTAATAACATATCACAAACCCTTCCTGACTAGGTAAATTCTGAGATTGCCTTTATTAAGACTTAAGTCTTCACCATCCTTTTTGTTTTCTGTTCAGCTGCGAAAACAAGAAACAACTTAAAACCACAAACTTTAAATATATCTCTCCCCAAAATAATCACACTTTAATGAAAGGGTAATAAACAGGAATAACTACGTGGTACAGCCAAAGTGATTCCTCATTCAAACTACTTAGTGGTCAGACAATGAATATGCAATGCTAAAAGAGTTGTCACAGTCTTCTTGCTTTCCCCCACCCCACAATCCTTCTAAAGAATTTATCACAGGGGAGCAGTAAAACAACCACTCTTGAATACCAAAGGTTTCAGGAAGAAAGACAAACTTCCTAAACTTCAAAATCAAGTTGCAGTAGATCTGTGTGAGGTATAACCTAAAAAAATTGTAGTCTCTTTAAGAATATATGCCAATTTACTCAAATGCAATTTCTAGGAAAACTTGTTTCTTACTGTACGGATTAATAAGGTGATGAGATTTATAAAGTGCAAAATACTAAGGCAACAAGAAGCACTGACAAGATTAGGTCACCATAAATAATATTCTGTACACTAGATTTACTGAAGCTTAATTGCTTATTAAACATCTGAACATTTGCAGGTGTAGTGTTAAGTGCAAGATATAGTCAGACTGTAATTAAGCCAAAAAGAAATTAAAGACTAGCAGGATTCTACCCTGTTAAAGAAGATAAGTAATTAATAAAAATGATTCAACTCATAAACCTAACAGAAAACTAAACCACCTTAAATTACACTGCAACATGACACTCGGTCATGTGTACATGAATTTACTGGTAACGTACATAAAAAGCTAAATAACATCAATAAATTTAAAAAATATATTTTTAAGGTTATAGAACTTCAGAGCAGTATAAGGCCCAGCAGTGACTCTAGGTTGGCTCAGGTTTCATGAATTCAGAGAGCAGCTACATTACTCCCACTTCCTCATAAACCACATCTCAACTACAGCCATTGTAACAGGAACATATTTTATTAGACTCCATCAGCAGATAATCATCTCCTCTCCTTAATTCATCAGCATGCATCCTGGAAAACAAAACTGGAGATACTCTTTTGCCTACACAAAAGTAAAATGGTGAGTGGGTGTTTGTAGCCACACCTCATGGAATTAACACTGCTCCCACACTGTCGAAGCCTGCTGACAGGTTCTGTGCACAATAGAGTCAATGCTGGGAGTGCTCATGACAATTAAGGCCTTATGACAAAATTCTAGTTCCTGAAAGTAAGAGCAGCAGCAAGCGAACAAAGCCGACACTCCTGTGGCTTTGCTGCCAACATCCCTGACAGCACAATCCACTCAATCTCACTGCACACAGAGAGAAAATGCAAACTGCTCTGAAAGTTCACACTGTGAGTTCCTTACATTCTTGAACACAGCACATGCCTACCAGAAAGAAAAACCATCATCAAATATTATTCTCAGTTGTTGCCAATTCTTACACAAAAACAGACAAGGAAAGAATCACTTTACTAACTCTTACCGCCCCAAAAAGAAGCAACAAACTGGAGGAAGCATAAAGCCTGACTTTATAGGATTTTGCTTCCTAATTGGATTTCTGATATCAAATAAAAAGGTGAACAGTAATATTAGCTTTTTCATCTTTCATTAGAGCACTTGTAACTCTATCCTGCCTGCCTCCAGTTCCTGATGTTTAATTATAGTTGAGCTCATTGCTGTTTAGGAGATTTAATGATCATTTGCCTTTAAACTCGTTTTCATTCAATATACAGCAACTTGAAACAACTCTCTCTCAACTTGGTTCAAAATTGGCGAAGTGGCTCAAAGGTTACAAAGATTCTCAGTCAGTACAACGGTGCAAGTTACATTTCTTTACCAGATCAACTAAGACACATGGTTCAGACAGCTGAAACTTGCAGATGTGCGACATGAACAGAATAGCACAATGATATATTCAGGAAAAGAAGTCAGAAATGAAACAACGTTCCCCAGGTGACTGAAGCAACTCGTATTAATCTGAAAATACTGGGATTTCCCATCCCACAGGCTCATGCAGGTGGCAACCTCACAGAAAGGTTTTATCCAAAACAGTATATACATTACTGCATACACAAACAACATAGAAGATCCACACCAGTAAGCTCTCATCACATACTAACATCTTTCCCCTTAAATTGAGAAAGATAGTAACATTGTAGTACTCTGCAAATAAAAGGAAAAAAATTAACTTCTATATAGGAGTGCTTTAAAAGGGCTCTTTCACCACCCTCGAAGAAGCAAAAAGGAAAAGTCGGCAAGCGAAAGGAAGCAGAGACAAACAGTAGAGAGTAAACACATCAAATCCAGAGCAGCACCTCCAGCAGGATCAAAACAAATAAATAATACACAAAACCTGAAAACCAGCATCAGGGAGCAACTGGCTCTATATGGCCCAGATGAGCATGGGGATGGACCAGATGATCTCCAGAGATGCCTTCCAACCTCAACCAGTCTGTGATTCTGTGATCGAGTTGCTCTTACACAGAAACTGCACTGCTTTTTTTTTTTTGTGACCATCCCTTTAATTCACATTAAATAAGACACACACCTGCACACAAAAAAAAAAAAAATAAAATAATCAGACATAAGCTACTACTCTTCAAATTTTAAATCCACCAAAAAATAACATGGTAGGAATCACCAAAATACATTAACCGCATCGCCACATTTAGGGAACGCCTCTTAGGGTTCCAGTTTTCACATCTCCCTAAAAATGGCTATTCTGTAAATACAGATTAAAACCAGAAGTCAGCTGCAAAACTTCACAATGGTAACAAAGCTGTCAGCAGTCTGAAATTATTATTTCAGAATGTTTTAAAAATGTGGGGGGTAAGTTACTTAATCCTTCTTTTCTGCTTATATTATTTTCAATCTCAAAATATTTTTCCTCCCAAACATCAGAGAGCATTTAATGGGTTATTTGAGCCAAAACCAGTAAGACCGCTCCATAACACATCTAAAGAAGCTTCAGTATCCTATGAGTGAAAAGCAAAAGACTACTTGTCCTCCTGCATGAAGATGAGTAAATACCCTTTCTTTGGCATAAAGCCATACACAGTATCAGCAGACATTTTTCTTCACAACACAAAAAAATGTATTGGCCAGTGCAAATACACAAGAGGGTTAAAATAGCACAGAAACTGGGAAACTAGATAGTTAAATGCCTATTACAATGAACTGGTAAAAATCTTCATTTTTGTTGCTAATATCCTCAGTCAAAAGCAAATAGCAATGTGGTAGTTCAAATATAAAAAAGCAATACAAAACACTCTCAAATGAAGTCATTTTTGCAAAGCACTGCTATGCCATTCCTCCCACACACACACACACACTTGCAATCTTAGATGTAATTCTACGCACTATTCGAATGCTGCAGCTTATTTCCCAGAGGACAGTAACATAACGATTTTTTCCCATATTTTCTATTAAAATGCAAAATGCAGAGCTACATTTTCTTCATGCATGCAAATCACAACAGCACACTGAATCCTAAGTGAGACATGTAGCCTAGTCTGTAAGAAAACTGGATCTAAAAAATCTGATATATAAACAATAAAGTGGGGGAAAAAAAAAAATCTAAGCTGACGTTCTGCATTGTTCTGCGCATACTAGAGCTGATCGACATAACGCAGCACAGGAAGCAAGATTCTCAGCTGAAAAGCCAAAAGAGAAATACGCTTAACCTTATTAGCTTTTCCTGACATTTTTTCCTATTTCAGCACATAATGCATTACAGAGTCTACTCCGCTGTGACTGTAAAAGCAGTTACTTGGAACACTGATTCCTCATCTTTATTCTGCAGCTGTGATAAAAGTCCGAAAACCCTGTTCCAGACTGCTTTTTCTTGCTAAACAAGGAGAACCTTCTTTCCTTAGGGTGTCTGAGGCTCTTAGTCACAGGCAGAAGAAACAGCGTCTAAATGTACAGGCTACTGAGAAGGAAGTTATGGAATATCCACTTTTGGCTCATGTCCTGCTTGATTTAAAAATCTATCATGAAAAAATGCCCTTGAAATAAGCATGTTTATGTAATATGCAAGCTTATATGCACTTTCTAGAGGTACAAATGTATTGTTCTAGGAAAATACCAAGAATACCAATTCTAGCACACCGGCTGAAAGGCACATTTTTGCTTTCCTTTACTGCTGTTCCTTAATAACTCGTTTGAGATGCTGAGACAACACTAACAAGTTCCTTTGTATACAAATTATGAAGCGCTTGCTCATTCTACCTACTTCATAGAAATTCTGAGAAAGTATCTACATGAACACAGCCAAATTTTTACAAACAGATTTTCACATAATAAAACACTGTATCTAAGGGTTATACAAACCAGGTTTTTCTTCTAGACAGAGAATCATACTTTGATTACACAAAGTACTAAAATAGAGCTTAAAATCCAATAATCTTTTCCGTCTACTCCATTCCTTCGATCCAAATGCTTGTGTTTAAATGTAAATTTTAAAGCCATTACGTATGCTTTATTTAGCAAGATGCATAGCATAAATCACTTTGGGCAGAACTCTTTGACCCTAATTTCGTTACAACACTTTTCTGCGCAAACAGGACGTTTCTCCATAGCTAAATATTATATGTATATATGAAAATACAATACATACAGGCATTTGCACATAAAAGCAAAACATTCACAACTGCAGATATTCATCACTAAAAAAAAAAGAGCCTCTGAATGCAGGGTACTGCAATGGGTGAAAATGCACCGAGTGTATAAACATATGTTTACAAAGTATAAATAATTTATCCCCCAAATTAAAGCTTGGTTTACATGGTTTGACACTAAAACCATTAAACCTTGGCCGAACCACTGTTTTTCATCATAATTCCCCAGTAACAGCAACAGAAGGAATGATGTAAAAGCAAGATA